AAAATCTAGAATTTCATGAAAGGGACGCCTGTCCTGAAGAAGTGGCGAACCCCGGTTTTTGCTGTGTTTCCTAACGAACCTTTTTTACCACTTCCCAACTTAACAGGCCATTTAAGCCTTTACACCTTTTGTCAACTTCTAATTGTTCGCCTTGATTGTGTCTCCTATCTTGTAAGTTGATCATCTTCCTCCGAATTGGGTATCTATATGGATGTGATCGTTCTCCCTCAGAGTGTATCAATGGAGCTTATTCGCGCTTTGCAAGAATTCGACAACAATGCAACCTTCAATGATCCAACAACAATTTTGGGAAGTGACCGCATTCCGTGTGGCCTCAAGTTGAAGTACTGGCGTGCAATACATTCCAGAGACGATGCAGTGCCTCTCCGATTAGTAGAAGGGTTGAATGGTGGATCGGAACTCACAGCAGAAAGATTGTTGAGTGACGGCATGGATACCCTTGAATTGGAGCGTCCTCTCTGTGTGAAATTGCCAACTTCTGAGGCTAGTACTGGCGACTTTTTCAATCGTGAAGGTGAATTGAGGTTGAAGAAGGTTTTCGAAAATGTATTAGATGCTGACCCTGCCCAATTTGAAAATACTTCCTCATCTGCAACCACTGAAGTTGCCCAGTTCACTGGACTTAATCATTTGACAGTTATGGCATTCAGAAGTGTACTTGGACTGCTTGGAATTAAAGTTGATATCTTTTCAAACCAGATGGCGTAAGTGTATTGTTTCTTGCTACCTGTTATTTTTCCTATATTTATTACAGGGTGCAAGAGACCCGAAATCGACCTGATACTTCACTCTTTATTTCGGGATATCTGGCATTTCTCAAGGAAGATAAGAAGGAGCGAGCCGGTCTGAATGAGGCTGAAGCCCAGCTTGCGCATTATGACCCCTTCATAGGGCATGAATATCTGGGTTGCGCAGCGTGTCCAACGGAGCTGAGGCTCTACTTACGGAACCAAGGTGGTAGAAGAAATGCAACAACCCTCTTAGGAACATTTGCCATTGAAGAGAAATATCAGAGAGCCGACTTTTGCAGGATCATAATCAATATCTGTCGGTATTTATACAAAAGAGTTATACAGATAGGATATCAGTATCTTCATCGTGACGTGATGGTTCGTGATTATCAAAAACGTATAATCAAAAGAGATGACAGAATATTGAAGATCACTGATGTCAGCGATAACCGCAAGGTACCGGATCCTCAGGCTGTAGAAGCTGCTTACAACCTTGCTGAAGGCGACAATGAGAACTTCCCGCATTATCAAGCCTCCGGCATTTTGGATGTACAGCAACTTAGAAGCTTCGATGTTTTGAATGAAGTAACTGGTGTAGAGGTCAGAGGAAACGCTAGATTTCTGGTTGTTGTTATGGAGTACATCCCTCAAGTCGGACTTCCACTTTCAACAAAAGAAGCAGTCCAAGCAGCACGTGACATTGCGCGATCACTCCATCAGTTTCATAGTAACAATCTTCTTCATACAGATGTTCGCTGGGCAAATATCCGGAAAAGAATTGGTCATGATAATGCCATAAAGTTTGTCTTAATTGATCTTGAATTTTGTCGCACCGGACCAACTGTCAACTTTGGTAGGAATCGGTACGCAGAGTGGGGCGAGCTGGTTCTGACTGATGGCAACTACAATTCACAATCCGAGATGTATCAATTTGGGCTGATGATGGTTAACGTTAGCCAGCTGTTACCAATGTTTTACAATGAAGACAGCTTTGAAGCGCAGATTGCGGCATTCTTCCATTCTGTAATCCAACCCCCAACAAGGTGCCTTCCAGCCAATGACATAGCTCAGCAAGCTGATGCTCTTTTGGATGCTTGGCCAGAGGATTGACAATAATGGAACTTCGTTTCTCCGCGCAACAGCGAAAGCGATTCCACGACAGCAAAAGACACAATAACAAAAAAAGCCACCCAAATCCTCCAGCACCGAAGCTGATGAGGCTGCCAAACAAGACAAGGAATGTTGCCAAACAAGAAGCAGGAGCAATGGCAGCAGTTAAAGCTGGCCAAGCAAAAGCAGGAAAGAATGACAAACATGAAGAATCTCACATCAGCACCTAAAACTGACTCGAAGGATGATGCGTCGAGTACACAAAATAGTAAGGCTGATTTTGACTGAAAAAGATCTTGATGAAGGCATCCAAAAGATTGAATTGGATTTATTTTTTGATTAGACAATCAACATTGTTAAACATCTCACTCGCTGAATTCTAATAGTGAAGGGTGTTTGTAATGGATTTTGATAATCTATCTCACTTAAATTTAATTATTTGATTTCCGTTTTGTTGTAGTTCTAGAGAAGTTGAGAGTATGAGATGCCTCATTGCGTTCAGCCTTCATTGAAGGATGAACACACAACGGTCGTCCACCAAGCTGTGGGGGGTGCTGGTGGAGACAGGCGTTGGATTCGTTGTAATCCCGAGGGTCCAAGAAGGAAGGCTCCGAGCAGGGTTTGGCCGTTTTAGTTGCGGCGTGAAGCATCACAATCGGCATGTCATATACAGTGGCACAAAATTTGTGAACAAATTTGTGGCCCCCTGTATGCTGACATCTTGGAAGGAAGTTAGAAATAGACTGGCATAGGAAAAGAAGTTATGAGATTTGACATCCACTAAATTGCGACAATATGATAAACTAACAAGTGCCACTGGCATTTTGAAGAATAAACGAGCTCATCCCGCACAATAGTCATATCATCATCTTCATCATCTGCTGACTTAGAAGAATTTTATTCGTACGGCATATTTGATGGTTAACTCCAGCTTTGTTCTAATCCGTTCAACAGATCATGATCGTCTCTGTTATACACATCATACAGGCGACCACAGCCATATATTAGCCAGAAGTGCATTGTTGTCGTGCCGCTCAGGACTGTTTAGGAGTTCAACCACAGCAAGAAGCCAGCAGTAGAAATCGAAACAATGAGAACCCCGAACATTAAGAGCTGAATCTACAACCCGAGAAGGAATGAAAATCGAAACTTCGTCTGGCTTCAAAGGAATGTTTTCCCATTCACCCCTTTTGTCTGAATACACCCAATGAATTATTATTCCGAGTGGGAACAACTGACTGAACGACAACCAACTGAAACTGAAGCTGACTTACGGCTTCAAATTCTTCTATAAGGCTGGATCATTGTGACCCAAAGGGCATTAACACAAAATATAGGATAAGAGGTGCGAGAGAACAACACCTTTTATTGAGCAAAAGTCTTAAAGAAGAAAAAGAAAGAAGAAGAGGAAGAAGAAAAAAAGAAGAAAAAAAGAAGAAAAAAAGAAGAAAAAAAGAAGAAGAGGAAGAAAAAGATGATAAATTGTTGATTGGTCTCTATGTAAATTGTTGATTGATCTCATTGGTTTCGTGTGCTTTTCCTATGGCCTGTATGCATTTGGGACATTTTTCTTCATTTTTTATCCAAAACCAAACTCAGTCTTCTTTCTCTGCCACACATTTCTTTATGAATTTCATATTGCCCCCTTGAGGAGTTTCGCCCTCATTGTATTCATAGAACCATTTTCCCGAACTTTAGGCTATGAGCCTGCCATTGTCTATTGAGCAGGTCAAAGTCTCGTTCGTTAACGGAATTACCCAGACGAGTATGACTCTTCTTTGTAAGGGCATCAACAACACAATTTTTGCTAGAGGCGCATCAACTTCGGTTGTGTGCCAACTATGTTTCATAGAAGTTTTTAAGAACAAACCACACGAACAAATCGAACACAGAATCGTAGGTTGTATTCTAGTGTGAGTTTGTAGCAGAAAAAGAGGAAGAAACAAGTTTGCGTTTAAGATAGCTACAGTTCGAAAGGGTTTGAATTGTGGAAATCTGATACGCAAGGATTGGGGTTCAAGAATTGCTTCCATTTTTCTGCCGTACTTGCTTCGGAAGCATTGGAGTTGATTCTGCACTGACGAAACGAATATATCCGCTAACAGATTACTTGGAAAAGAGTAAGGGATTAGCTGAACAAAAACAGGTAAACATAGTGCTAGTGATCAGGCTACGTGCCCTCAATAAAACCCAACTCCAAAACCCCATCTAGCGGGTAAAGAATCGCCAGACCTCCATCGCGGGCACTCCACTGTAATGAGGTCTGATTATTTTTTTCAATGAAAAGTATTTGAAATTTTTTGTTAAAAAATTAAACTTATTGACTAATGGTGGACATCCAAGGTCATCCTTGTGTGTACTTCTACACAAATCTATGCTTTAGATATGAAAAAGTCAGTCGTTTGTGAGATCAATCAACAATTTACACTGAGTGAGGGTAATCAACTCCGAGCATCATGGGAAGCTAGTTAACGGAACGGTTATGAAGCCAACTCTTTTCCACCAGGGCCCTAATTGTTGTGTTGATACTTGGGGCCCGCAGATTCTTGGGCTCAATATGGCCGCTTAACGTCTGAAACTTGGAGGAAGAGAGATGGCCAAATGGCAAAACTTATGCATTGTGATCACTTGGTGCTCAATCAAGGCAACAATCAAATTTTAAATCAAAAAATGCGTTGTCCTCGCTCGAGACAGTAAGTAGATATGGCTCTGCTAATATCAAGTCATTGTCCCAGTTCGGATCTAGTATTTAGCAAATGCATTTGGCACGATGAAATTCAAAATGGCGAGTCACTGAGAAGAGATGGTGCGTAAGAAGTCCCTAGATTTATTGTCCCAAAACACGGCAAATAAAAAAGAACTAAGTTTTTTCATGAAATATTTGCTTGCTGGGATTCAGGTCGTTAGACACAATGCCCGCACTGAAATGTGTGGCAGATCGTTCTCGAACAAAAAGAGAAGATAAATGGCAAGAATGTAAACAATAAACCAGTGAGGCACACTTTGGTTCGCAACCTGTACATCGTCTACTGGGATGATTCTTTTGTTCTATCCTCAACGATCCTTCGAATGACCCGTCAACCATTTCCGGATCCTTATTCCGCTTCCAACGATACGCCCCATAGAGACCGCCAGCTATCAAAGAGCAGCGACACCCGAAGCAGCACCAATAGCAACAGGGATGGAGCTTATTCCCGATTGCCGAGCTTGAGATTCATCCTTTTGTGTTCTATCTTCCTTTCTTTTTTAGAAGAAAGACAGAAGTTTCTGAGAACGACAAATCTTGGATCCATACCCAGCTTGTCGTTGTCGGCTTGTTTTTTGGAGTTGTTGTCCGAGTCGGTTTGTTTTTGAAGTAGTGGTAGTTGTTGTCGAAGTAGTGGTAGTTGTTGTCGAAGTAGTGGTAGTTGTTGTCGAAGTAGTGGTAGTTGTTGTCGAAGTAGTGGTAGTTGTTGTCGAAGTAGTTGTTGTCGAGGTCGGCGCAGGGGTTGGGGTTGAAGTGTCTTCGGATAACGTCTCTAGAATCTGTATGGCTTTTACAAGATCTGGCTGACGGCCAACATTTCTGTGATCTGCGAAGTTCTGTTCCACTGTCGTATAGAATTTGACGAAGTTGTTTTGGCTCCAGATTCCCGATGCCCTTGGCCCTTGCAACACCCTGAATGAACGCAGCACAACCAGCAATTATCGTATTGGCACTACCAGTTCCTCCATAAGTGTGAGTGTAAAGACCTCTCTTCCCTGCCTCCCATGTTGTGGTTGTCACTCCACCACCTGAAGTGCAAGGCAATGTGCCATCTAGCTGTGCATCCCTTTCTTACCCCACGACCAGAGATCGACGCGAGATCCCCACTCGCTAAAGTCTGATTTCTCTCCGTTCCAGGGATCCCCAGCTCCCGCATAGATTGCACCAGAGTCCCTTTCCCGGGAGTATTTACCCTTAAAAAGGGGATGGTCCAAATCCATATAGCCATTTGCAGCTGTGGAAGCCAAGGAACAGATGAAAAACGCGAAAAAAAACCAATTCATACCTGCAGTAGTGACATGAATTCCTTGCTTACCACGGCCCATTTGTCAGGTAGTGGACTCCGATTTGGAGGACATCTCCAGCATCAAGATGATCTCCAAAAGCAACAAGCGCCTCAGCAGAATATCCCGAATAAGCTGACTCTGAGTCGCGGGCAATTCCTCTAAGTTTTACTCCCTTCCCCCACATCAATCCGGCTGAGCATGTTGCGTGGTAATAAACCTCCTCGGGTTGTACAAAAAAAAACCAAAGATGGTCTGGGAGGAAGGTCAACGTTGTCTCCTGTGTTTCCAGCCAATTTTTGCGCCTCAATTGCATTCACTCCACCAAGCTTATGTCGCTCGCTTATGTTTCAACTGAAAGAATGCTCGCCGATCTTCTTACCAAGCCCCTGGCAGCTCCACGGTTCAAGACCCTCCGAAATTCCTTCATGTACGATTCTCTCTCTGCTCCATCAATGAGCTCAGACGAAGAAGCATGATTCGCTCCAATCTGGGGAGGTGTTAAGATCTTGACTTAATGCAGATTATTTTACTGGTTCATGTCCCAAAACGAGATTTGCGCTACACAAAAATCGCACAAAAACCACTATCAAATTTGTTCTGAGATTTTTCGCTGTATTTCCGAGGTGGTTTACAGAGAGGGACATCAGGACAAACCGGCTCTTCAGTCACAGACTCCAGGGATCCAATAAACACCATCAATTCATAATGGCTGATCTCACGCCTGATACAATTGAGAATTCTTCCGTTTCAATTCACAGAAGATATCAGTTTTGTTTGGCAACTAACCACCCCAGTCGCATTATCCCCGATCTCTTGTTGCCTGGTTTAAATAAAGCCAATACATTGCATCAGGACGTTCTTCGTATTTTAGATCCAGTTGATATTCAAAGAATTGTCGGCGACGAGGCGTTGAGAATGACGCCCGAGCTTTTTTCTCGAGTGCTGAAGAGTCGGTTACGCTACCCAATTCCAACCGATCTCCATTATTTGCCGGAGAATAATAGTTTCACTCGTACAGGATTTCATGGTGGTATTCTGTTGCAGTTGTGCATTGTGCTCGACCAAGCTCGTGTGCCATTCAGCGGTCATCCTACAGAAGCATTGGGTACGCCACAATTCAATGATTGTGTGCAGAACCCGATTGATATTCTTCTTAAGATGGTTTTGGGAATTCGACTCGACCAACGGCGAGACGCAGCAGAACTCCAACATGATCGCAATATCCGCAGACCAGATGTTTGTATGTTGATCGGATCAGTTCCTGTTTTCCGCGGAGAAGAGAAAAACCGCGCACCCGATGAGAATTTGGCAAGAATCCAATTACAACGAGCCTCTCCTGCGAACCAACGGTTTCCAATTCTTGTTTGCACGCGTGCCGATTCCTGTCTTCGCTTTTATTGGTACAGCGTCCACAACCCATTGGTAGATCTTAGTGATCCGAGCCGCCCTGCCGATTTGCGGTTGCCAGAATTCGATTTAAAGTTTCCTGATGAGCGTGTTGCATTGCTCCCAGTTTTGGTTAACTTCTGTATTTATCTAAACAGCTGCCTAATTCCTGCGCTGATGGAGCTAGATCAAGAAATTCGTATGGGTTCGCTGGAGCCTCCAGGATACTGCGAGTTCACCATCCAACAAGATCGTGTTTGGAAAGAGTGCAGGCGATGGACTCCAACAGTACAAGACATATACGCTGCTCTTCGTGATGATACAAGCGGGCAACATTTGAGGGTCTACTCGGTGGTTCAATCAGAAACCCTCATTGTGGAAATGGATCGTTTAGAATTGCCAGGCATTCCAATGAATCCACGTGAATTTATTTCTTGGGCCCGCTCCTGTTTGAGGACACTAGATTTTCTCCATGGCAGACAATGGGTACATCGGGACATTCGAATTGAGAATGTTCGTTGTACGTTGAGGAATGGAAGAAGGGAGTTCTTTCTAATGGATTTTGACTGTGCTTGTGGAGCTGGTGCCCCAGTAGTGTCTCCGTTAGCAACCTGGCCTCGTAGTATTCGAACGCTTCCTACTTTTGAAATTCGACATGATATTGAGTTGCTCAGACAGATGATCATGTCCCAACTCCCAGTTTTATCATTCAGATGTATGGCGCTATTCATGGACGGCGGTAACAATACCGTTCCGTTGCTCCAGTGTGATACTTTGCAGCAAATTAGTGCGCTTCTAAATCAATGTGAACAAATAATTCAATAGCAATATTTGTTGTTTTTTCTCTTTTGCCCTTTTGCATTCTCTATTATTTGCAACATTTCCGAGAACGATTGTACTGACCTGGACGATAATGAATTTCTTGTAAGTTCGAATGTACGTCGAGGAATGGAAGAAGGGAATGAGTCAGAGAACGCCATCCATAGAGTGAGTCAGAGAACATCATCCATAGAGTGAGTCAGAGAACATCATCCATAGAATGAGTCAGAGAACATCATCCATGGAGTGAGTCAGAGAACATAGAGAACATCATCATCCATAGAGTGAGTGAGAACATCATCCATAGAGTGAGTCAGAGAACATAGAGAACATCATCATCCATAGAGTGAGTCAGAGAACATCATCCATGGAGTGAGTCAGAGAACATCATCTATGGAGTGAGTCAGAGAACACCATCCATGGAGTGAGTCAGAGAACACCATCCATGGAGTGAGTCAGAGAACATCATCAATGGAGTGAGTCAGAGAACATCATCCATGAGAACATCATCCATAGAATGAGTCAGAGAACATCATCCATGGAGTGAGTCAGAGAACACCATCCATAGAATGAGTCAGAGAACATCATCCATGGAGTGAGTCAGAGAACACCATCCATAGAATGAGTCAGAGAACACCATCCATACAGTGAGTCAGAGAACATCATCCATAGAGTGAGTCAGAGAACACCATCCATAGAATGAGTCAGAGAACACCATCCATAGAATGAGTCAGAGAAAACCATCCATACAGTGAGTCAGAGAACATCATCCATAGAGTGAGTCAGAGAACATAGAGAACATCATCATCCATAGAGTGAGTCAGAGAACATCATCCATCGAGTAAGTCAGAGAACACCATCCATGGAGTGAGTCAGAGAACATCATCCATAGAGTGAGTCAGAGAACACCATCTATAGAGTGAGTCAGAGAATACCATCCATAGAGTGAGTCAGAGAACACCATCCATAGAGTGAGTCAGAGAACATAGAGAACATCATCCTCCATAGAGTGAGTCAGAGAACATCATCCATGGAGTGAGTCAGAGAACATCATCTATGGAGTGAGTCAGAGAACACCATCCATGGAGTGAGTCAGAGAACACCATCCATGGAGTGAGTCAGAGAACATCATCAATGGAGTGAGTCAGAGAACATCATCCATGAGAACATCATCCATAGAATGAGTCAGAGAACATCATCCATAGAATGAGTCAGAGAACATCATCCATGGAGTGAGTCAGAGAACACCATCCATAGAATGAGTCAGAGAACACCATCCATAGAATGAGTCAGAGAAAACCATCCATACAGTGAGTCAGAGAACATCATCCATAGAGTGAGTCAGAGAACATAGAGAACATCATCATCCATAGAGTGAGTCAGAGAACATCATCCATCGAGTAAGTCAGAGAACACCATCCATGGAGTGAGTCAGAGAACATCATCCATAGAGTGAGTCAGAGAACACCATCTATAGAGTGAGTCAGAGAATACCATCCATAGAGTGAGTCAGAGAACACCATCCATAGAGTGAGTCAGAGAACATAGAGAACATCATCCTCCATAGAGTGAGTCAGAGAACATCATCCATGGAGTGAGTCAGAGAACACCATCCATAGAATGAGTCAGAGAACATCATCCATGGAGTGAGTCAGAGAGCATCATCCATAGAGTGAGTCAGAGAACACCATCCATAGAATGAGTCAGAGAACACCATCCATAGAGTGAGTCAGAGAACATAGAGAACATCATCATCCATAGAGTGAGTCAGAGAACATCATCCATCGAGTAAGTCAGAGAACACCATCCATGGAGTGAGTCAGAGAACATCATCCATAGAGTGAGTCAGAGAACACCTTCCATAGAATGAGTCAGAGAACACCATCCATAGAATGAGTCAGAGAACACCATCCATTCAGTGAGTCAGAAAACATCATCCATAGAGTGAGTCAGAGAACATAGAGAACATCATCATCCATAGAGTGAGTCAGAGAACATCATCCTAGAGTGACATCCCTCGCAACATTAATGAAACACGGAACCTTCGATGAATATAACAGCATCGTCAAGAACAACGTCTTTGACCTAGTTCCTCGCCCTCCTGACAAAAACATCGTCGGCGTTAAATGGGTATGGCGCCTCAAGTACGACAGCAAAGGCCGATACAAGGTCGCTCAAGACCCAGAAATTCGGAGAAGACTGAAACATTTGCGCCAGTAATTCGGTATGACAGTATTCGAATCCTGCTCGCGCTCATGAACCACTTCGATCTCCATTGCCATCACATTGATGTTGTGACTGCCTTCTTAAGCAGTGAGCTAAAGGAAGAAGTCTATGTTAAACAACCCCCAGGCTTTGTTGATTCCGATCACCCAGATTATGTTTGGAAACTTCGATGAACCCTTTACGGCCTAAAGCCCAATGGAGTGGAACTCAACCTTCGTCACCTTTCTTGCCTCACTTGGCTTCCATTAACTGTGTTCTGATCATTCCATCTTCCTCAATTCATCTACCAACGTGCCAACAGCACTCGTCCCGACATCTGTTATGCTGTGCACAAACTCGCTCAGTTCAACACGTGCCACGACTCTGTTCATTGAGATGCAATTTAGCGGATTTTCAAATATCTCCTGAAAACAAGTGACCGCGGAATTATTTTTCAAAGCAGTTGCACAACCGATCTACAGCTCACAGGCTTCTCGGATGCCAATTGGGGAGGTGAAACCGCAACTCAGTGCAAATCAACAACAAGATTCGTCTTCTACTTTCTCGGTGGTCCAATTCTTTGGTCTTCCAAGAAGCAATCCACTGTAGCTCTCTCCTCGTGTGAAGCA